CGTGGCCGGCCTCCCCGTGGCGAGCTCCAGGGTCCTGCCCGGGCTTGTCCTCCGCAGGGACTTCGCGACCTACAGTCCGGCAGGAGGGGAGCTGCGGGCCGTGCTCGTCACCGAGCCCCTCCGGCCCGCCCTGTCGGCCCCCAGCGTCGAGTTTGTTGTCGACTCCGAGGGTCAGTATCAGGCTTCCCTGCAATGGATCACAAGGAGGACAGAAGCTTTAATAAAACACTTGCAGAGCAACAACATCAGGCTGTTACTGTCGAGCGTGAAGCAGGAGGAAATAGTTATTTACTATGCGAAATTGTACGGTATATCTGTGGTAGAGTGCTTATCATCAGAAGAAATGGCCCTCATTTGTGAAATCACAGGAGTCTCACCCTACGCACCGTTTGGTGATAACATGCTCGGAGGAATCACTGAAACTGCGGTGGCAACATTTTGCCAGCCCTTACTGCTCGGCTCAAAGAGATGTGCTCACATTGGCTTCACCAGCATGTGCACCTTTCAGCCCCATTGCCTTATTCTCTGTGGGCCAGTCGAGAGTGTTAATGAGCAACATGCTGCTGCTTTACAAGAGGCATTTGTAATGCTGCAACAGCTCTTTAAAACAGCTGAACAGAGGGAGAAATGCAAAGCAGAAGGCGAAAGCCAGGGTGAAGTCTCGGGTGTTTGCAGTTGGTATTCTTCAGCTACTGAGAAGCAACTTGCAATAGAAAATAATTATTGTAACAGTAGTCAGGTTTCTGAAGGTCAGTCAAAAGCACAGAGGGATGAAGCAGAGACACAGATTGTAGACACAGATTTGCAGGGATGCAGTAATCCAGTATGTGTGCAAACAGACTTGCAAATACTCTCAAATCCCATCTTGCACATCAAGGAATTCAGTGGTGCCACTGAAGGAGATGGCTCTTCACAAGGTGTACAGAAACCGCATGCAAAATGCGAGCACCTGGGTGCCGTGCACGTGAACTGTAAAAACGATTCTCTTGTGGACAGTCAGAAGCACCACAGCACTGCTGTATTAGCATGTAAGGCTAATGCAGGCACCATGTGTGAAAGCCTAGATGCTGGCAAAGACCTAGAGAAAGTCAGCTGCAATATAGTCCCATTAAAACATGGAAAGAGTTGTGTAAGCACTGCACAGAATTATTCTGTCTCCCTCATAAAAGCAGGGTCAGTTTTGCCAGCAGGAGGTTACTTTGAAGTCCTGTTACATTACTATATTCGGTACTACGCAAAACAGTTTCAGCAGTCAGAGGTAGCTGTTGTATCTGATGTAGTTGCTGATGCGCTGCTAAGTATTCCCAAGTCCTTGTATGGGACAACAGAACGAAACAGCTTTACCAAATTCTATCTCAGAGCCATAAATTCACTCAGAAAAAATGAGCCCCTGCCTATGAATGGGAAAGGCTTAGAATCAGTGTATTGCAAATACCACTTAGTCATCTCAGTTCTTCATTGTGTTGCAGAGCTGCTCTCCATAGATCTAATAATTGATATTAAGTGGCCACTGCAAAAAGCTGAGGATTATGACTCAGAGAATGACTTCTGAAATCTCTTAATAAAGAATGTTTTTCATTATGTGTTTTTCCTGTGCCGTCTTGTCAAAAGGATGTATCTCAAAAGTCAGTGCTAGGGAATGAAAGATACTTTGTAGGCCCACAGACCTAATGTGCTTCTCTCCTCTAAGAAGAAGAGAAAGGCTCACCAGCTGAGATCTGTGGAAAGCTGAGTTGTGCACTTGCAAGTTACAAGCAAGGGGGGATTTTTTTAGCCTTCGTAATAGGCTGGATTGAACATTACTTTAAATAAAACTATTTTTGTATATATTGTGGTTTTAAATGTAATGGGAAAAACAGAACTGTTGTTGGTCTGTTCAGTGTAGGGCAGGCAGAGGTAGGCTGCTGCAGTGTATCCCAGTGAAGAATTTTCTCATCTGACAGAAGATGCAGTATTTGTATCCTTCATTGATTTCACTTCAGTCAGACCAGTAGAGATAAGAATAATTTCATATTGTGACTGGCTGGCATTTGCTCTGGCAAATTAGTTTATGTGACATTACTTAGTACAGCTATTAATTTCAACTACGCTGGGTTGAGTTGTGGTGCTACTATCAAAAGCTGTGTAAAAGTTTACATAATGCAGTTCTGTGTGAAAAAACCTGAGGTGATTTTTCAGTTCAGACTTGGACCATTTGGGATTTTATTCTGGCCTTTTTTGGTTTGGGTTTTTTCCTCCCTTTTTTTCCCCCTAAGATTTTCACCCTAATAAGAGTTTCTTCCAGCTCAGTATCACAAGGATGTCAATACACCTCCCTTTCTGCTGTGTCTTAAAAGCTACAGGTTTGGTGGGGAAGGCTTTTGGGGAACTGAACAGCTGCAGCTGATAACAGTATTGCATTGGTTCTCTGTGCCATTGCCTATACTGAGTAACGCTTAGAATAACTGGGGGTTAAGTCTGCCATTAAATACAATGTAGTGATGATATTAAAATCACAGGCATAAATCGTATTTATGTTATACCTGAGATGATTACAGCTATCAGGGTTTTTTTTTAATCACCATTAGTTTATGGTGTTACTTTCCCTTTTTCAGTTTCTTCAGAAGGGTCTATGTACTATCTACCAAAGTTCTTTCAGGCATTTTAGCAGCAGTGCTTTGTTGGAGTACAATTTTCTGTTGAAAGTTTGTATATATTCTTAGCAATATAAAATACTGTATTTTTTCCCCTGACTAATACACTCCTACAGACATCTGCATATGAAAACAGTGAAACTCAATCACTAGAGTGATTTCTTTAATGAAGTAATTCCTAGTTTTTAGAATCATTTTTGGTGGATACAGAGGTGGAGGAGAATTAAACATGAGGAATAAGAAAGAAAATCACATTCTTGCTGTAACCACATGCTTTTGGTAGCTGCTTAGTGTGACAGGTCCAGTATGAGTGAAGAGGAATCTCCATTGTGGAGGAACTGGTGTGTAAGACCTGGTGTCTAGTGAGTTTCCACAAGCCCTGGCACTTCAGCAGGCACTTGGGTTCTGTATTTTGGCATCATAATGAGCTGCTGAGACAGTCCTGCTCTTGCACAAGTTCCTGCATACTCTCTACAACCTGCTGACCAACTTGCTGGCCAAAGATTAATGATTTGCTCTGTGGTAGTCTAACAACTGTGGCGCACGTAAAGCCTTGCAGCAGTGGGGGTTGTCTGCAGAGCCTGCTTTTGTATGCTGAAGCAAGGTGCTCTCTAAATACAGATACAACAAAGAGAATAATGTATCATTTCACATTATTTTATACCATTTGCACATCTGCACGCTTATAGAGTTACTGCAGTTTCTTGAAAAAGTCTAAACCAAAAATATTTTCTGTGAATGACCTGTTTGATTTAAATTGTGTCATTCCTACCAAGAGAGAGTCCAAAAATTTTATCACATACAAAACTTTATTTTTGTATGCCGGAGATACAAGGGAGAATTTAAAAATGTCAGTTCTGTAAAACTCCTTTTCCTGACCTCTTTCTGGTGAAACCTCTCAGGTTGGAAGGTTCAGTGAGTCAGGGATTATATACCTTTGACTTCTCCGTCCTTTTGTGAATGATCAGTTTTCCCTTTTGAAGTACTGATTCCCTGGTTTATGTAAACTGAGAACGTGGCACGCCTTTCCCTTGGAGAGGAATGTCCCTTCTTTGAGCTGAACTGCTGGGGTAGATGCTTGTTCAGGACATGGCTGTTTGGTTTCCAGTCTTGGAGTCTAAGCACATTATGAATTGTGTACCAGCTGAAGTGGGGGGGGGAAAAGGCATTAACTTAGTCTTTGGGGAGAAGAGCAGATTTACTTCTGGATTCAGCTTTTTCTTATCCTTGGGAATCTTCTCCAGTAATTAGCCTGGAAGTGTAATCATGACCTAATCTTAGAAAATATTCTGGGTTCACTGCTGTCCCATCTACTCCTTAAGAGAAAGGCTGTTTGTAGCCCTGAGAAGTGGCACAGTCTGCATTCTGGGCTGCGGCTCAGGTGCTGTCCCTGCTGTTACTCCTCTTCTGATATTCCTGCCCTGCTTCAGCAGCTGTCCCTGCGTTGCAGAGGCTGTGGTTACCCAGCCAACCCTACTCAGGCTCTTAATGCTCATTGGTGTGCAATTCTTCCACGTCATCTTACAGCTACCCCAAATCTTAAAGCTAACTACAAATGTAGCTTGCCCTTTGATAGGTGATGTGGGGACGATGCTAAGAGTGATCTCTTGATAGTGGCAGGGACAAAGGGTTACCTGAGGCAGCTTTGGAGGATGTTTACTCAATCAAAACCGCAGGGAGCGGTGTGTTTGGGCATGCACTAAGGTTATAAAAGCCTACAGGTTTTTCTTCTTGCACTGTTTCCCAGAGATTATTTCTATTTTATGCTATTATTCCATTATTTTTATAGTTGTAAGTATGGGTTGGCCTCCATGCAAAGTGAACGTCAAGTAGATGTGGACCCATACATACATGCATGTGGACTTGGGTCCAAACTTGAAATACAATGTGAGGTACAGGGATACTGATGTTAAGAGCCTAAAATTAAAGGAATGGTTTTAAAAACCACTGATGTGTAACTCTCCTTTTGCAGTCCTTAGCAAACCTGTATTCTACTGCACATGAAATGCATCACAATATTCTGAAGGTGTTCTCACCCCAGCCTGAAGGAGTGTAGGTATGTTTTAAGCAAGGTGATCCCGTTTGCCAGGTGGCAGATTCACATGAACAGGCAGGTAGTTTCTTGGGAGTTTTTTGTTTGTTTACTAAAAAAAAAAACCCCAACAGGTTTTAAAATGCGTGTGTAGTAATATACAGTGAGACTAGATTGAAAGGGCATCCTGCACACAGCTCTTGAGAATGGGAGTAATCTACCTGCATGACAAATAAGCACCATTTCTCTTTATTGATTTGGGTGGGGGTCAGGTCTCAACAGAGTTTTACAAGTGCCAGGACAGCACTGAGCCAGCCTCCATTCCCCAGCACTCCTCCAGCTCAGCTGCCTTTCCACATTGCCTGACCCCGGCATCCCGCTGCCGAGTACCTTCCCAGGTCCTTCTCATCAGTCTCCAGCGGCACCAGCTCCCTGTTTAACAAATAGGTATTGCTTCAGTTCTTTAGTAGAAGTTACCTAAATATGGCCTTATATTTTTCATCCATGTTTAGTTGGTTGCTGTCCATGAGTGGTTTTGGCAACAGAGAGTATCGCTGATAGGAACCAGTCGCAAATCACGCACTACTGAAACACATTTGCAAGAGAGATTAGGGGAATGTGCTATTTTGTTTAGGAGCTTTACTGTGTAGTGTCATGAGTCTGGTAATTTTATATAGTTTCTGTTGTTATAACTGTCATTTCCCAGAGTCCACAGGTGGGTGATTAACCATACCACGTGAGAAGATGAAGGAAGATGTAATTCTTCACTTGCATATACCTCCTGGACTCCACTAGAATTGCATTCATCTGAGGCTGTACTTGGTTTGCTTTTTGTTATGTAACACATCTGATATTAGAGGTAGAGACTTTCATTTAGGATTACTAAGTTTACTCGTATGTTTGTTTAGGTTAATCTGTCCCCTTGTGTATTTTTTGGCAAGGCTCTTTTAAAAATCTCATGTTAAGAGAGAAACTATTTCAGTGTTCAGCTGCAATAACCTCTTTAATTGTCTCGAAATCAAACTTTTTTATGGTTACCAGCAAACCCAAAGATAAACACTTGCTTTATTTAATATACTATTTATTGCATTATTGATATTAAGACTGAACAAATCAAGACAGTAATGTCTTGATTTATAAACAGTAGCTTTGGAAATACATTGTCCATCATTAAACAGTTATAATTTTGCAGTACCATTTTGTGTAGAGCATCATTTGTATTCTGTTTATGAGACTAGAAATAGATGTTTGGATCTAGGATTATACAAATTACTACCCTCTGAGAATATTAAACTAGTAATTGCTTCCAGAAATAAGAATTTTAATTTTAGCATTCCAGAACTGATAATAATGATGGCAAAAATGTAGTAGATTTAATATGCAGTAACTCCTTCTTTATTATATGATTCAGTAGGAGGCTAGACTTTGGAAGCGATATTTATATAGCAGTGCACTCTCTTTAAAAACTGGCCTGGCAAAAAGAATACAGAATAGTTTTCTGTAGGAAAACCACTCCTGCAGGTTAAGCAGTTTATTTCTCATTAAATTGCCAGCAGATAAAAAACCTGTTATGCTGAGGCTTTGATTCAGCACAGGATTAAGGCCACATCAGTAATATTGCTTCCCGTGTGGCTGCATCCTAAACCACCTACAGCAGAACTCACTATAAAACATTGTATTTCCATTTAAGGTATTTAAACAAAGGTATTGTTTTACTGAACAGTATCTCTAACCTGTTCTTAATTTGAGATTCCCAGTACAACAATCCAGCATGGGTTTTTATCCTTTTGGTAAAAATCATGACCTACTTTCAGGGGGAGTCTTCATTTTCCTGGCTAAGCATCTGATTAAATATTACCTTAAAATGTGAATGCAGAGGGTGAACAC